CCTCAGCTCTTCAGCTCAAGGCGAGCGCTCTACCACTTGAGCTACAGCGCCACTTCCGGTTTTCTGGTGGTTTATTGGAGATAGGAGTCTCACAGTCTTTCCTGCCCGGGCTGGCTTTGAACCGAGATCCTCAGATTTCAGCCTCCTGAGTAGCTAGGATTACAGGCGTGAGCCACCAGCGCCTGGCTGCCCTCCCCTTTCTGTCTTACAGTTAAATCACCTCTCAGCTCTTCCTGTACCAATCCAGCAAAGCTGCTTTCCCAAGTTTTTCTAACAGTGATTTTGTTGTTGTTGTTGTTGGTAGTGATGGTGATGGTGATGGTGGTGGTGGTGCTGGTGTGGTAGTGGTGGTGATCATCATGGGGCTTGAACTCAGGTCTGAGCATGGTATCTGAGCTTTTTCACTCAAAGCTTGCACTCTACTATTTGGAGCTACAGCGCCACTGCCAATTTTTTGGTGGTCAATTAGAGATAAGAATCTCATGAACTTTCCTGCCTAGGCTGGCTTCAAAATGTGATCCTCAGATCTCAGCCTCCTAAATAGCTGAGGTGGCAGGTGTGAGCCACCAGTTGCCTAGCCTTTAATAGTGATTTTTAAAAATCCATCTTTTTAATAGTTGTAAAATATGCGTCAACATAAGACTTCTCATTTTCACTTGTTTTTGGTGGTACGAGGGTTTGAGCTCAGGGTCTCTCACTTGGTCGGCAGGTGCTCTACAGCTTGTAACCCTCCAAGCTCACTCACATCATATAGCCATCGCCTCATCCACCTGCCCATGCACTTGGCTAATGATTCTGTCCCCAGTGAATGCTCACTGTCCTTCAGCTTCCCTCCAGCTCCTGAGGACAACCCTTCTTTTTTCTGTCGTCTGAATCTGTCTGTTCTAGATGCCTGACATGAGTGGGACCACTTTTCTAATAGTGTTTTGATTACAACAGGGAAAAATTTTAGTGGGAACCAAAGATGGAGAAATAATCGAAGTTGGAGAAAAAAATGCTGCTTCCAACATCCTGATTGATGGACACATGGAGGGGGAGATCTGGGGACTGGCTACACACCCCTCTAAAGACATCTTTATCTCTGCCAGCAATGATGGCACAGCCCGGATCTGGGACCTGGCTGACAAGGTGAGGGTCACACTCTGCCTAGCTTGGATGTCCACAGCAGTAGGAACCAAGAAAAGCCAGAGGTGGGAGAAAGGGAACAGGCCGGATCAGCAGTCAGCCACAAGCAATCATGTTAAAAACTAGCCTAATGATAAAAGAAATGCCCTGTCGAGCTCTAAGTATGTTTTAGCTGTTTATCCATCTATAGACCTTGATAACCCAGGTAGAATCTCAGTATGATTATTCTCTTGTTATGAAAGCACCCATAAACCTAAAAAAAATTAGAGGCAAAGCTTGTATTACCTGCATGGGAAGACTAAGGATTTTTTTGTTGTTGTTGTTTTGTTTTTTTTTGTCGGTCGTGGGGCTTGAACTCTGGGTCTGAGTGCTGTTCCTCAGCTCTTCAGCTCAAGGCTAGCACTCTACCACTTGAGTCACAGCGCCACTTCTGGTTTTCTGGTGGTTTATTAGAGTTTCACAGACTTTCTTGCCAGGGCTGACTTTGAACCTCAATCCTCAGATCTCAGCCTCCTGAGTAGCTAGGATTACAGGCGTGAGTCACCGGCACCCAGGCTAAGAATGTTTTTAAATGTCACATGTTCCCACGTAGGCTAGTGAGTTCCCATCAAAATTCTAAGATTTCTCTTAGAGCTTGGAAAAACCATTTTAAAGTTCATCTGGGATAAAAATGTAAAACAGCAAGGAATCATCCGGGAAAAGGAGAGTTACCAAATCTTATCCAGTCAAAAGCAAGTACTGAAGTTCTAATGAAAACATTTTTATTTCCACATGGCTAGGAAATGTTTCTGTCATATTTTAAATAGATACACAAAAACTTTACTGTGATTGTTACACTCCTAACTTACTGTTCAGGTTATTATATTCATTGGGCGTCACTGAAGACTTTATGTATACTATTCCTGGTTTTTACCATAACCTTCCAAGGCCAGTGATAACATGGCTTCCTTATAAGAGGATAACTGGGAGGTTAATCCAACATGCCAACTAGTACGAGTGAAGACTCGGTGTTTGAGCTAGAGCATGGTGAAGCTCACTTCTCCCACTAAGCATCAGATGAGCAACGTACGGCCCCCAGGCCAGGTCTGACTTGCAGCCCATTTCTTCAAGGAAGCCATGCCATTCGTTATATATTGTCTATTCATGCTGCAAAGCACAGTTGAGTAGTTACGGCTAAAACCATATGGCTCACAGTCTAACCATTTACAGTGGAGGAAGTCTGCCAAATCCTGTCCGAAAGCATGCTGTCCCCCCAGCTTTTCTAGTCAAACATCCTGCCCACCTCAGCTGCTCAGGGGTGTGTAACAGAGGCCAGAAAGAGGTGGCCTGTGATGGCTGAGAAGCAGCCTGACGTTGCTAGCCTGGTGCAGGATTCTCCTACAGCCTGGCAAGGCCAGGGCTCAGGTGACTTTTTGTGTGTATGCCAGTACTGGGGCTGGAGCTCAGGGTCTGGGCACTGTCTCACACTTTTGTTTTTTGCTCAAAGCCGGCCCTATACCATGTGAGCCACAGATCTACTTTTGCCTTTTTGCAACTGAAGCTAGGAGAGTCTCAGGCTTTCCCAGCTCAACTGGCTTCAAACCTCAGCTCTCAGCTGGCTGAATAGCTTGGATTACAGCCTGCTGAGCCACTAGTGCCCAGCTTTCAAGTAGCTTTCTTTTATTTTAATATTAATGTAGAAACTGCTAAACAAGGTGAACCTGGGCCATGCAGCCAGTTGTGCAGCCTACAGCCCTGATGGGGAGATGGTGGCCATTGGTATGAAGAATGGAGAGTTTGTCATCTTGTTGGTGAACAGCCTGAAAGTGTGGGGGAAAAAACGGGACCGGAAATCTGCCATCCAAGATATCAGGTACTTCTGCCAGGGGTCTGAGCAGAGAAAGGCTGCACTCTTGCAAATGAGGTGCCCTTTCAGAAGGTCCACGGCTACATTAAAGAACTTGGTTGTGTCAGGGTAGCCTGCACAAGTCAGCCACACAAGGATCTGTCACTTCACACATTCACTGTCAGATCTGACTCTGCGAATTTCCATGAGTGATGAAAAGTACTTGTAAGATGTCACACTGCAGAATCACTCACACATACACACGCACACACACACACACACACACAATTTCCTTTTGTGGGATTTGTTCCAGAGTGGTTGTTGAACACAAGCTAGCATTTGAGTCATGCTAGAATGCAACGGGTCATTGTTTGGGGCCTGGCAGCCCCAAGAAACCTTCTCATGGATCATATTCTTGGACTGCTCTTTCTAGAATCAGCCCAGACAACCGATTCTTAGCTGTTGGTTCTTCGGAGCACACAGTTGACTTCTATGACCTCACTCAGGGCACAAGTCTGAACCGCATTGGGTACTGCAAAGATATCCCAAGCTTTGTCATTCACATGGATTTTTCTGCAGATAGCAAATACATTCAGGTATGATTTCCATTTACTTATATAGGGGGCAACCCATAATAGCAGCAATACAATGGGTTATTTTAGTTGATGCTGACTATGTGCTAATTTACTCATCACCAAAAATCTTGAAGTACACTTACTTTTCTCCTACATTAATAAGCATTGAACAAGGCTTAGAGAATTCTTTTTTTTTGGTCAGACGTGGGCCTTAACTCTGAGCCTGGGCGCTGTCCCTCAGCTTTTCAGTTCAAGGCTAGTGCTCTACCACTTGAGCCACTGTGCTACTTCCAGTTTTTTCTGTTTATGTGGTGCTGAGGAATCAAACCCAAGGTCCCATGCATGCAAGGCAAGCGCTCTACTACTGAGCCACCTTCCCAGCCTGGCTTAGAGAATCTTAAAAAGTAGAAATAAATAAGAATAAAACATACTAAAAGCTTCTCTGAAAAACACTGGCCATAGACTTTGGCAAAGGTTGACATTGTGGCAGGCGCAGAAAGTGATGGCCAATTCCAGTTCACTGAGACTAAGAAGTATTTCAACTCTCAGCCGGGCGCCGGTGGCTCACACCTGTAATCCTAGCTACTCAGGAGGCTGAGATCTGAGGATCACAGTTCAAAGCCAGCCCGGGCAGTAAACTCTGTGAAACTCTTATCTCCAATAAACCACCAGGAAACTGGAAGTGGCGCTGTAGCTCAAGTGGTAGAGTGCTCGCCTCCAGCTGAAGAGCTGAGGGACAGCGCTCAGGCCCAGAGTTCAAGCCCCATGACAAAAGAAGTATGTCAACTCTCACACTTTAAAAGGTAGAAGGAATGTGTACTGGCTACATATGGAGGTGTTGCTTTGCTTCTCATATACTTTTAATGCTTAACAAGACGCCAGTGGTGAAAGCAATATAAATGGATTCTAAATGTCTGATCTCATCTGTTAAGTTCCTAAGCCTGGAGAATATAATGTCAATTCATCATGGAATACTCAATTTGTACAACAAATTATGAACATGGAAGTAATACTAAAATTATTCCATTAAAAAACAAAAAGCAGGGCTGGGAGGTGGCTCAGTGGTAGAATGCTTGCCTTATATGCATGAGACCCTTGGTTCAATTCCTTAGTACCACGTAGGCAGAAAAAAAAAGCCAGAAGTGGCACTGTGGCTCAAGAGTTCAGGCCCCATGACTGACCAGAAAATAAAATAAAATAAAGCAATACTGGCTCATATCTGTAATCCTAGTTACTCAAGAGGCTGAAGATTGTGGTTCAAAGCCAACCTGGGCAGAAAAGTCCCCATGACACTCTTATCTCCAATGAACCACTCAAACACTGGAAGTGGTGCTATGGCTCAAGTGGTAGAACACTAGCCTTGAGCACAAAGCAGCTCAGGGACAGTGCCCAGGCCCTGAGTTCAAGCTCTATGACCAACAAAAGAAAAACAAAAGGCAGCCAGAAATGCATGCCCTTGTCATTTCTAGCCTCCCCTTCAAAGTTTCCTAGTTTCTAGTTCTGTGGGCTTGCACCAAGCCATAGTGCTTCTGATGTTTACTTCTCTTCCAAATTCTTCTGGGCAGTGTGGCTCCTCCACACTTGGGACTTGGACTCCAGACAGTGGACCTGGAACGAGAACTCATCACTGGGTCCCACGACAGTTGACCAGTGAGGTGGGATTAGAAAAGGTCCCCACCCTTGGGATTAGACAGCTAAAAACAAAGATTTTTCTGGCTTAACTTGGATAATTGTTATAAAAGGAGAAAGGATTTCATTCATTCACTTATCGAGTATTTACTAAGCCAGACACTGCTAGCTAGGCTTTTAGATGAGCAAAATTTGCTTAGTTCTTGACTCCTCCTGGAGCTTGCTCTGTCATAGAGAAGATAAACAGTAAACAATCACCAAGTATACATGTAATTACAGATTGTGATTGTGGGCTGAAAAGGCAAAGTACAGGGTGCCAAGGAGCATTTCACAAGGAGCTGAATTTAGATTTGCTTCCTCTCTGAGCAAGTGATATTTAAGTTGAGGTCTGTAGGATGTGTGAGAACTAGCTCACAAAGAGGGGCGGGAACGCCGCCCCAGCCATCTGCACGAAACTCGAGGTGGTAAAGGCTTAGCCTCATTCCTTGAACAGCAGAAAAGCCTGAGTGGCCGGGGATAGAGGCACCTCCTGGAGAGAAGGGGCTAAAGCCATAGTTAGGCAGTGGCCTTTTTGCAGACAGATGTCCCTGATGCCAGAACACCCCTAGAGAAGCAAGTAGGAGACATTTTAAAAATTATCTTCAGCAGCAGCTGTCCATGAGAAAACGTGCCTTCCCTCTGCACCACAGGTTCTTGGTTTGCCCAGAACAGGGATTCCAGTTTCAGAATCATCTGAAAGCTTGGTTAAGACAAAGACTGCTGGGTCCCACCCTCACAATATAATTCCATATGTCTGAAGTAGGGCTCCACAATCTGTATTTCCAGCACTTCCCGACTGAGTTCATGAGCTTGGATTCCTTTCCATTTCGTAGGTGTCAACAGGAGCTTATAAGCGCCAGGTGCATGAGGTCCCCTTGGGGAAGCAGGTAACCGAAGCCATGGTCATTGAGAAGATCACCTGGGCTTCCTGGACAAGGTGACTGGAGAAAGGACTTCTTGAGGAAAAAGTCACAAAGGAGTCTTGTCCCAGGTTCTAAGTTCGTGACGGCCAGTATCAGAAAAGCTCAGAGTTGGCACCGTCTTTTTCTCCTGGGGATGAGACTAGGAGGCTTCTTGGCTCTGGTTAGACCAATGACTTGATCTGACCAGGCCTTGGGAATTAAAGACCCTCCTTTTATGTTATCATGACTATGTTTAGTCTGCAATCCCATTCAGCAATTCAAAGACAAACCATCTTTTATCTCTTGAACAAGCCCAGGTGGACAATAAAATCTCTAGTCACTAGAAGGGAATGGAGGGCTAGAACTGTTGTTTAGCAAGATAAGAGACAATGGCCTTGGCCAAAGCAAGGGACAGACCATCCAACCTTTGAATGTGAAGGAGCCTCCCCACATCCACCATATACATGCTCAAGATTATAGGGAAGACTAAGAATCAGAGGTGGGATAACTTTGGTTTCTGGAGTTATTGGGGACTGAGGTAGAATGGTAGGGGCTAGTCTCAGTACACAGAGGAAAAGGGGGATGGATGCTTTCATGATAGAAAAGTCACCTGACCATGCTCATCATGCAAAATATCCCTCTCCCTCTTATTCCTGGGAGGGGATGGCTGACCCCAGGAAACTGCTGTCACATGGCTTCTTGCTAATACCTCTCCCTGTTGGAACAGCATCCTGGGAGATGAAGTCATTGGAATTTGGCCTCGAAATGCAGACAAAGCTGATGTCAACTGCGCATGTGTGACCCATGCTGGCCTGAACATCGTCACAGGAGATGATTTTGGGCTGGTGAAGCTCTTTGATTTTCCATGCACAGAAAAATTTGTGAGTCTCCCTGGGCAATCCCTGTTCCCTGCCTCTTCTGTCGTCTGTGGGCTAGTGGTCACCATCTAGATGGCCCGCTAGGTAACAGGGATCTCTTGTGGAGGTTTGGTATTGACCAAGTTTTTCATTAACTTCTGGAGGGTCAACCCTAAACGCTGGCAGAAAGGAGGCTGGCGGGTGCATGGGCAGGCCACACACATGGCAAGAATGAGGCAGGAAAGCCAACAAAAGCTGGCTAACAGCTTAGTCCAGACCAAATAGGTATAACTCCTTCCTCTTCTCCCCCACCCCTTGCCACAGATGGAAGGTGGGTCTCAGTGGCAGGGACCTGAGTCCTCGAAAGGGTTCTGTGGCTACTGGGAAGAACAGTCTCTCAGCTGTCTCCATTTTTCCTCACAGGCCAAACATAAGCGTTACTTTGGTCACTCCGCACACGTGACGAACATCCGGTTCTCCTATGATGACAAGTATGTGGTCAGCACTGGAGGAGATGACTGCAGGTACTAACCAGATTAAAGTGGTTTTGACTCCCCCCCCCTTTTCCCTCAGGTGTTTTATCTGTCAAGCCGCTGTCCCAGGACCTTGGGAAGGGGCTGATGTGAGTCCTGTGGAAAGCAAAGACTTCCATGTGTAAACTATTCAGTTTCTGGAAAGTCCATCCGAATTCTGATAGGCCTGTGCCCCACTAGAGCTGTTTCAGGATTGGTGAGAAGCTTAAGGTCACATGATCGTTGCTCTGAGCTATGAGTATTTCTGTAGGGAGAAAAGTAGTAAGATGGCTGATTCCAGTAGAACTCTGGGCAGTCCACAAACATGATAGAGAATAATCATGTTAGAGTGGCAGTTCATCCATGTGTCCTTAAGAATTCAGGCCAATCTAATGTCTGTATGATGCATAATTCACCAGCAGCCAAGAGAAATGTTTTAAAATTTAGTATTAAAAAGTCTTGTTTACCTTAAGAAACAAGCAATCGGGCATGGGATCAGATGAAAGGTAATGCAAATAGGCCATTGCTAAGTAGTAGCAAAACCTATAGAGGAGCTGACAGGCGGGGGTGGCTTTTGCTTTTAGTGACACAGGTGCGTGTTCTGCATTAAGCATGGCTGGGGATGCCAGTTGGAGGGTGCTCTACCAATCCAGTCCACAGACACCAGCCTCTTCCAAGTTTCAGAACAGGCAGCTTTCTTCCTGCCCTCCCCCCTCCACCAAGGACATTTCTTAGATTGTGAAGGGCATGCTATACATGCAGTTTCTCTACCTGCAACTCAAAGGTTTTATCCTACCATGACTATTTGTTTATATTTAGCACAAACAAAACTTTTGAGGTGATAAAGAGGAAATATGTGCATACTGATGTCTTTTAGTGGTCAGAATTAGGCCACAAGAAAGGCATTTATATTTCAACCCACTTCCCACCACAAACTGTGTAGAACATGGCACCAACAATGCTTGCTTCCGGCCTGCCTGGAACACTCATCTAGCTTACAGTGCCAGCATCGTTAGTACTTATAACCCTTGAGATAGTGTTGACAGGAGTTCACTGTGAACACCCATTGAGAGCTAAACTGAACAAGCTCGCCACTCCAGTTCAGGAGAAACCAAGTGACTTCTGTTCATTATACAGGTCTTAGAGTAACCCTAAAAACATGGCTTGTCAGGTGCTGGTAGCTAATGCCTATAATCCTAACTGCTCAGGAATCTGAGACCTGAGGATTGTGGTTTGAAGCCAGCTAAGCCAGGGAAGTCATGAGACTATCTCCAATAAACTAGTCAACAAAGACAGCAATGGAGCTGTGGTCCAAATAATAGGGGCTCTAGCCTTGAGCAAAAAAAGCAGCTTAGGGACAGTGCCCAGGCCCTGGGCCTAGGACTAAGCCCCAGGATCAGCACATGCATGCAAGAGAGACAGGGAGAGAGAGAGGGAGAGAAAATGCAGGGCCTTGTAAGCACAGGAGTATACCCTGATCTCTGGCTCTGTGACAAACACTTAAAAGGACTCTCTGACTCAAGTGGCATTGATTAAAAAAAAAAACAAAACTTTTCAACAGTACAGAAGAGATAAGTGTGAAATCACATTGCCAAAAACCCTCACCAACTACGTTGAGCGATACTAAGCTGCTTAAAGAGCCAAACAAATTAAAAATAACTTTTACAAAGGCATGCAGGGAGGACCAAGAGAGTCTAAAACCAGATTGAACTACACGGTGAGACCCTGTCCCAAAAGGAATCGATGGCAAGATCCCTGACGTATGTTTTGAGTAAAAATGTTAAGGCCTAAGTATCCTGTCCAGCTATGCCAAGTTGACCGGTATAATTTTTCAGTGTATTTGTGTGGCGATGTCTGTAAATGCCAGCCAGAAACCTCTTCTGAATCGCTGCTGCCACTCCTATCCAGCAACTGCAGAGGCCGTGCCAAGCGGCCTTCGCACCGCCAGCTGCTGGGGAATGGCTCCAGGCTGTGAGGACCTGCAAGCCCTACATTCTAGTAGACGTTGTATGACTGCTCTCACAGTCTGGACTCTGAGGGCCATGATGCGAAGAAGGAAAGTTCTAAAATGTCAACACTGCTTGCCTCTCTGTTCCTAAGACTAAAAACTACCCATAGTAACGACACTGACAAAGAATGCTATCTGGTGATGTAGCCCACTGACAAAATTGAAAGCCTCAGTCACTCTAACCAATATGTAGCTTTTAATTTGCATCAGAACTTTTACAAGGATGTTGTGCTATTCTGTTTCTATATACAGAATGTCCATTTTTATAAATAAGTTGAACAAGACAGCTTAAGTTAAATGCACCGAAGTACTAGACGTATGGCTAGCCTGTCCTCCACATTTAGCTTTCAAAACCAAATGAGCCATGTATAAACAAGTTGAGAAACTTAATTTTTTAATGTTTCATTTGCAATTTTATATCCATTAAGTGCCTTGAAAAGTTCCCAGTTGTGTGGGCTGCTGTCTCCCCTCCCAGATTATCTGCTTTCTACACATGGTGCTAAAACTTTCGAACTGAGGAGGGCTACAGGACTTTTAGCAGATTCATAGTCTGTCACCTGTGTCCTGTCTTTATGTCAAGGCTTTCTAAGCGACCTCAGTGACCTGCTTGGGAAACAGTGGATGAAAGGAAGGTGAGCAGCAAAGGAACTTAAGTTCAGCAGGGGGGTACAACAGATACTCATTGTGTTAGTGCCAAACATGCAAAATCTGAACTAGAACTCAAATAAAACCACTACTACAAAGGGGAAGAGAAACACAACAAAAACCCTCCTTTATGTCCAAGTGGTTAATTTGCCTTGTTAAATCTTAAATGGTGGTGGTAAGTGGAGTGGCCTGATGCTGCACCTCAGTTTAACACCCAGATTGGGGCTGGCTTGACTCCAGTGGTGTGCTTCAGGTGAACTGTATAGCTAGCAAGTCCCGATTTAAGAAAGCAAAGTTTTTTGCAGAAAAATTCCTAATCCAAGGACTATTTAGTAAAGCAAAATTTTGCCTCAAAATTAGTTGTAGGACGGCATGTGACTTGCATAATATGGACAGGAAGCTGTTCGTGTTCACACGTACACATAGCCAGTCACTTGAGTGTAGGAGGGATTGACAGCACTCATTGAAAGGGAGGTTGTTGGGGAAAGGGGACTCTGAGCACAGACACCAACTTCTTCCAGTCAGTACACAAAAAATTCTGGAACTTGAGTTCCTGCCTATTTGCAGTTATCAGTTTAGAGAAAATGAAATGAAACATTTTCAATTAAAAAAAATAGATTAACATTTACCACAGAAGTGCTTCAGCATTCTAAATGGATTAGATTACTCATTAAGTTATTTTTATATGCCAATTTATTAATGCCTTACATTAATCCACCAATAGGTTGTTGGGCCCACAGTAGAGTCCCTGTGCAGTCCTAATTGTGTTTTCTGTAATCATGTGACTGGTGATGCTGAGTGACAACCATGTCGGCCTATATTGTACTACTGACCTTTTCCTACTGACTAGATCTTGCATTAAAATAACCATGTGGATGAACAATGAATCAATCAAATATATATATGTACAAGTATATTTAAAGAGCAATAGTGTCTGTGTGTCAAGACTCATTTGTAAACATTTATATGGCATAATTTTATGTATGTTAATAAATCCTGCACTGTATTCGACTATCTGTTAAAATATTGGTGCATGAATTTATTTTCAGTCATCTTAAGTATAAAAAAATTTAAAACATTTTGGTATGTGTCAAATAAATTTGATTATATAAGAAGGTTGACCTTTATTTCCATGAGCTGAAAACCTTTCTAAAAATACACATTAACACTCACTAATTAACGCAACGTCTACCCATGTTAATTTTTTTTTACTGCAGTTTCATGAAGCAAAAAAACCCACATTTTTGTCTATAAGCTTTATTGATACTTTGCTTTTACAGTTCACAATGCATTCCACAGATTTAGTTCAGTACAACTTAACCACAAAGGTATAAGTCTTCAATTTGACTTCTTGCATAACAATGTTTGATATTTGCAAACAACATTTTTGGAAGCATTAAGATTCAGTCCATAGATTTCAGAGTCTGTGACAAAATTAACTACTGTTAAGTCTTTGCAATGAAGGTTCTATGTGTGTGGCAATGTTTCATGTTGAAAACAGATGGTAGTGCTCCTAGAAATATATTTTCTTTTTCAAGCTTACAAGCTTTGGAACTAGACATGTATAACCAATGACTGAAATGTCAAGCACTGTGGGGCAACTGGAAGGTAAAGGTCTAAGCTTTGTGAAACACTATATATAGATATAGATATATATAATCTATATTTACTTATATTGGCAATTCATATAACAGTAAAATTCACAATACACCTAGAGCATACCAGAAAGGCAAGCTTTTTCATTCCTGCTTTAGTGGCATGATCTCGTCTAAACATTTCATTTCAGAAAATCTGCATCAATCTACACAGACCATACACAGTGCACAAACTGTGAAAGGGGTTGTTTGTTTCCAGCTCCGCCTTCTCTGCTACGTCCCAAAATACAGCAAGACTACCTGCAACAAAACGTAATACACAGCTTGCTCAGATCACTTTTTCTTCACCAGCGCCTTCATAAGAGAAACAAATACAATTACAATTTAAATCCATACATAGCAGCTTACAATACTTAGGATGAACACACAGCAGGTAACTTTTCCTCAAGCAGTGCATTGTTAAAAATAAAGATCTGTGAAACTGCACTGCGATGTCAAGGTTTCGTTCTTCCCTGGCCCTCCCCCATGTAAGCAAATGAATATCCCCTTTAAAGATGAACTCCTACTGTTAATTGCTTGGGGCTTTTTCATTCAGCTTTGCGCTTCAATCCAGGGATTTTTGCTTGGATTCTACAAACGAAAAGGAAAGAAAATAATGTCATTTTCAAGAACTACTAGTATATTATTTAGCCTGCTCAAGAAATAAAATCCTAGAGCTGCCACATTACAAGGTTGCTACTTCTGCTTAACTGCAACAAAGGGCCCAGATTTAAGGGGAAAAAAATATTTTGCCTACTCTGAAGTCACGCTTAGGGCACGATGTAGATTCCATACTCATTATGCCTATAATATGAAAACACTACACTAGCTCAAAACCCAGTACACCCTATCCTTAGTAAGTTGAACATTATACTTACTTAGCCATAGTATCCTTAACATTCTTATTTGCAAGTCTTAGACAATGATCTATCTGTGCCTGAAAAGAAAAAATAAAGTAGCTATTAGAAAGTCACTATAGCTAAAGGCTCTTATTAAGCATCATTATATGCTAACAAATTAAAAGGCTTAGGAATATCACATTTCTCACTGATAAGATTTGAGGAACTAGTGTTGATACATTTGTAAATCTTACATAAGAGTGAGCTCTGTCTTCTTAAGTCAGTTAAAGAATTACCTGATGCCGTTCATAAATAACAGGAACACTGAAGAGTGAAATCAGAGCTGAAAAGAAATACACAACTTTTTAAAAGACCAGTATGATTAAGGAAAAAACAAACTCAAACTGGCAATGCCCAAGATAACCAGACAGACTTATACACATAAGTCCTGGATGCATCCGTAGAGGTACTTCAGAGGAATGAATGAACTGATTGAGGCTACAGGAGCTTCAAATCACATCACACATGTTTTATACAGTGCAGGCATCCCCAATGAGATATATGATTGTGCCATCCGGTAAGGTTACCATTTTCTGGTTTATTGCCATTAAGTGGAACAGTTTTCTGGAACTACAGTAGCATTTCAACAAATCAAGTATTGGCTATTTGAAGAGATTTCAACTTCAAATTTATACCTACTTCTCTCATAATCTAAGAATATTCTCCACTAAAGTCTCTCTAAGCTCTTTACACATAATCTTTATTTTTATTCAAATGGTTTTGCAGACTTACTTACCTAAAATCAGTAGTGTCAGACCATTGAACAAGGCACCAACATAGGTGAACACCCACATCAATACTGCAAACTGTAAGCAAACAATGGTTTACAATAATCAAATCCAAGTCAGATTTAGTTCAATTAAGCTTTCCCATAAAAGGAAACTCCTAAATGCCAATCTACTAGAGACATAACCCTTGAAAACTCAGTAAATTGACATAATATTTCATTTGGTCTAAATCACCATCTCAATTCAGAATCCTAGCAAAACTAGTAGATTTAATCCATTTTCTCTGGATAACAATACAAAGTAGTTGATTTGTTTTCCTGGAGATCAGAAAACATGCCAAAGGTACATTTTACCTTCTATTAGCGCTCTAACAGTCATATAGCTCTAATACCGCTTAGCTTTTACATGGGATCACTAAAAAGGTATATATGAGAATTAACTATTAAAATTAAAGTACTAAATAAGTTTTTTAAATATATGGCATTACCTTTAGTCACCTTAAGGATCTTGCAGTATCCAGTAATGAATGTTTAAGGGCTACAGTCAAGGATTCCTCAAACTTTCATATACCTATTAAATAAAACTGACCATATTCTTTTTCTTCTAACAACTGCCGTCTTTATTTGCAAACACAAATATGTATATGCTGGCACTACTTTACATTCTTTATAAATCTAGGGATAGCATCCTCTTAACCTTATGACAGACATGTTACAATTACAAAAGTATATACAAACACTAAACGTGTGTGTGTGTGTGTAAGTGCTACAGTGCCAGGACTGACTGGGGCTTGAGCTCAGGGCCTCAACTCTCACTCAGACTTTTCACTCAAGGCTGGCACTCTACCATTTGAGCCACAGCTCCAGTTGCAGCTTTTTGGCGGTTATTTGGAGATGAGTCTCATGGACTTGTCTGCTAAGGCTGGCTTCAAATTGTGATTCTCAAACCTCAGCCTAGTAGCCTCAGTAGCTAGGATTACAGGTTGAGCCACCAGCACCTGGCAACACCAGAGTTTAATAACTTGCCAGGCATTATGTTATAGAAACTAGACTTCCTTGTTTCCTCCAGGGCTGAAGACTGAAATAAACTGACCAAACTCTCCCAGTTTGGGTATCCCTGGCATAAAAACCAGAGACTTACATGGACAAATGGATTAAGACAATGTGGTATATACACACAATAGAATTGTAATCATCTATTAGAAAGTGATATTGTACCATTTGTAAGGAAATGGAAAGACTTGTAAAAAATTGTATTAAGTAAGCCAGTCTCAAAAAACAAAGGTTGCACAGTTTCCCTCAGTTGTGGTAGATAGATGTCTTTTATAAATCTGTAAGTAAACAAGTGGGGTGGTATGCAAGTGGTTACAAATGAATGAACTGAGGCATAATAAACCCCATGGAGAGCTCAAATAGAATTATCTTTTAGAAAGGTTAGGTCAAAGCCCAACAAAATCAGCACCAGGAAATAAGTACATGGCCAAAGGTAGATAAACAGAGGGGGGAAGGGGAGAGAGGAATGCAGTCAAGAATTCATTGTATAAGCACAAAGTCAGTCTGAATTTCCATTAATCGCAGTTAGCAATTACTCTGCTTCCCAATTCAAAGCCTTTCAGTAACAATCACTCCAATCTATTTAGTAGGTAACAAGCCTACTAACAATGCCACTATTAATATGGTGTTACTTCTACATAAATGACCAACTATCAGTAAGCAACATTATCACCCCTTCAACCAAAATGAGCGAATATTCAAATTAGAAAAATGCCAGGCAATTGACATCTGTCCTTGAAATTAGTAATTTTAAAAATGCTACCCTGTCCTTATAATCACTGTTATGGATGGAAAGGTTTAGAAAATCTCTGATGAGTATCCCCCTGTCATGTAGTTTTATAGACTCCTGTTACAGAAACTAAATATAACTTAGGCACTTGACCAAGTTTACACCATAACTAGAGAGCTATTTTCATCCATCACAGTTCATAAGAGCCAACCTTCCACACTTTAGAAGAAACTGCTTCAGCAACAGATATTCACATTCTGATAGAATTCAAACAATAGCACATATAAGCTAAAACTAAGTCCTAATTTGGTTGTCATAGTCACTGACAAGGCTGCACTTCAAATCCATAGAGAGAGCAATGCAAGAGTCCATACCAGCTAGCCAAAGAGTTCAAAAGCTACTCGACTCTTCAAGGACACTCTTCTTAAAAGCCAGGTAATACAGTGGCAAAAGGGAATAGAAAGGCCAGGACTGGTGGCTCATGCCTATAATCCTAGCTACTCTGGAGGCTGAGATCTGAGGACTGAGGTTCAAAGCCAGCCTGGGCAGGGACTTCCAAGAGACTCTTATCTCCAATTAACCACCAGAAAACCAGAAGTGGCACTATGGCTCAAATGGTAGAGCGCTAGCCTTGAGCTGAAGAGCTGAGCGACAGTGCCCAGGCCAAGCTCAAGCCCACAACCGACCAATTAAAAAACAAAAGAAAAGAAAGAAACTTCTGAGGTTCCTGGGGCCAAGAAAGTGACATAGATGCATCAGGAAAGCTGGATGAGCGCCAAGGCCATCCGACACCGCGCGCTCTCAACGTGGCTCCCACAACCCAGCTCCCTGTACTGAGCCATGTGAGTATTCTAGGCCAATGTTGCCAATTTTCCCATTTTTAGAAAGAAATTAGAAACTTGCATTTTGATGTGCTGTCACTGAAGTTTTAAATATCATAGCTACATTTGGAAAAAATTTAACACTTTGTGGGCCCAAAGCAAAACTCTGAGGGTAAGCGTTTCCAAAGAGCACATCAACACAAGACAAGGGGGACGAGAGAAGGAATACTTTGCCCTCTGGCAAGTGTACTCTTACTGGAAATATTACAGAGTAACAAGAGCAAGGAACTTAAAAAAAAAACTACTATGGCAGTTGCTGTGCTTCATAAAACACATTGGTCATGTAACAAGCCCCCCTCAAATTAAATACTGTCATTATCTCTACAGAAGAGAACCCCAAGACTGATTTAGCAAGCTGTTAAATCAAAGGCCATAGTGATCTCAGGTTTATCTGACCCGGGGACCTGCTCTGCTCCACTTTGCCTACCGAGGAACCATCATTGGTGGGGGTCTGTCACAAATGTGCAGGTACACACTAGGAGGCACCATTTTAAACCATAAATATTTCTCAACAATATAGCCAAGTATATATCAACAGTGGGAAACCAACACTCATCTCTCCTTTGGATAATAATGACCCGAGGAAAGGGGCCCAAGTCTAATGAAGAACTAAGAAACACCGAGAGGCTACGGCCATTCTTGTCAGCCTGACTTGTATGGAGCAGAGGACTGAATTTTTCTGATGCCACATACCTGACCTCTACAGAAATATGATGCTTCTTAATACTAAAAATTACTTGCCTTTTTTAAAAAAAACATTCTGACTCAATATTACTTTAGCAGACTCTACATATCCTTTCTCATTTTCCTATAAGCCAAAGAAACCTGACAGGAAACTGTCAGAATGTATATATTAACAGCTGCTCAGAGCCTGAGGGCTAGATCTTAATGTTCTTTTGAGCCAGCTATTTTAGAACTCAGGTCTGTCTTTCCCACTCATTTTTAGATTTAAGATTGCATCATGGAACACTATACTTATCTATCAGGCAACTATGGCCAAATATTTTCTTACAAATAGCTTTTCACTGAGAGTTAGAGAACTATCATATAAGATCTACACAAAGCCACCATTAGGGAAACACATACCTGTGCTGAAAACACCTGGTCTTAGTCTCTAGTAAGAAATTACAGAACATTTCTGGGTATTTAGCTTTCAAAAGGTAGGTTCTTCTTTTTCTTTCTTAAACCCACGTAGCTATGACAATATGCATGCAATATCATGCCCAGCTTAAAAGGCAGGAACTATCTAAAGTTTGGAGCCTCCCTGGATTAGCCCCAAAGCTCCTAGGAGGGTCTACACTGTAACTTTTCTTTTAAAATAGGGAGTTAAGGATATAACTCAGAGTTTTTATTTTAATGCCACAAGTTTGGGGGTTTTTGGAGGGTGGGGGAGCTGGGGGGCAACACTGGAACTCAAGTCAGGCACTCTTCTGATCAGCCATGCTTCTCAGCCTTTTTGTGTATTTTTTTTTTTTTTAAGATAGGATCTCACTTCCCACCTGGATAAGCACTAAGACCACAGCTGCTGCTGTGCTTTGTTTCCTGCCATAGCTAGGATGACAGGTATATGCCCCCATGCCCAGCTCCTTTCCATTGAGATGGAATCTCAACAGATTTTTCTGCCCAGGCTCGTCTGGGACTTTGATCTTCTTGGTCTCAGCCTTTTGAGTAGCTAGCTGCATGCCACAGGTACACAGCTCATACCACTACTTTCTAAAAATGGCTATTTTCCAAGTAATAATAATCCCAGAGAAACGAACTCAGAATTTCATACGATGGAATTTCCACTCTTTATCTTCCTAGCCGTCAGTAAAAGTTATAGAAGTTCATTAGGTAATTCCAACATACAGCCAGGTCCAAGAACCACCATTTACAACAAGATCTCTCATGCAGGGCACTGGTAGCTCATGCCTTCACTACTCAGGAGGCTAAAAATCTGAGAATTGTGGTTAGAAGTCAGCCCTAGCAGACAAATCTGAGGGATTCATCCCCAATTAGCCAGTTAAAAGCTGGAAGTGGAGCTTTGATATAAATGGTAGAGCACCAGCCTTGAGAAGAAAAAGCTAAGGGACAGTACTTAGGCTCTTAGTTCAAGCCCCAATACTGTCACACATATACACAAAAATCTGGTAAAAAATGTACAATCCAGTCATATTTAAACAAAATCATAAACTCAGATTAACATGTCCCTGCCTAAAAATCAAGGCACAGAAACTCTTAACAATCATTTTTTTTTCCTACACAGGGTCTCACTATGTTGCCTACGTTGGCCTTGAACTTGTGATCCTCCTTCAGCTTCTGAGTCCTGAGATGCAACATCACTTCTGGCATAAAATAGTAATTTTTATAAAGAGTCAAAATGGATCGGTGTTTTCCATGTCCCTTTTTTAAGAGATATTTAAGCCAAGAATATTGTGTTCAGAATACTACTCAGCGGAAAACAAAGAGATAGAACCTATCCTACTAATATGCAATGCCATTAGGAAAAGGTTTAAGTAAATTCTCCCACAGCAGAATCACAAAGTTCATCAAGGAAGCCCTTCATCTGCACCCTAAGTTACCTACGATTTCATTGCTACACCTTTGCATGGAGACAAAAAGACAGACACTCTATCTTAATCTGTTGCTTCAACACACTTTGAGACCTACCACCAGATTCACTTTATCTGCTAACTTGAGGAAGCAACTCTTATTTACTTGGAACCCTAAATGAATTACCATCTGGAGAAATCACCAAATGAGCTTGGAGCTCTAGGCTTCCCAAAACCACAACCAAAGGAAAAAAAGTTTCCTTCTCTTGTTTGGGAAGTATCAATCATCCTTTTAAAATAGCCAACTATTTGTCTTCCTCAAAAAGACAAGTCTTCCCCTATCCCAATATTAATAAACCAAGAATGTTTAAAATTAAGTTGGATGTGACTAGCTGCTCCAGAAGTGATCAGAAGGATTGCACTTTGAGGCCAGCCCAGGTAAAAAGTCTGCTTGGTTTGCAGGTGTGCTAGAGCAGAAAGGGAAGTATATACAGGAGGATTGGAGGATTAGATGGTACCTCTGGCTCATGCTTGTAATCCTAACTACTCAGGAGACTGAGATCTGAGGATTGGTAGTTCAAATCCAGACCAGGTAGGAAAGTTTGTGAGACTCTGATTTCCAATTAGCCACCAAAAAACTGAAAGAAGAGTTGTGGCTCAGGTGGCAGAGCACTAGCCTTGAGCAAAAATGCTCAGGGACAAGACCAGGCCCTGAGTTCAAGCCACAATACTGACACCAAAAACAACAAGAAAAAGAAAAGCATGAGGATTGTGAACCAGGCCAACCTGGGTAAAAAATTGCAAGAGTATATTAAAAAAAATAACAAGAGCAAGAAGAGCTAGGGTCATATGCAAGCGGTACAATGCCTGTCTGCTTGCTAAGCACAATATGTGACAAAGAGAATCTACCTTTTACTTATGCTTAACAGTAATAGTAACTTATATGCTACTAAAGCATATAGCTGAAAATGATGTATCACCTGCTAGTTTATAAAGGCTAAAATACTTTATAAAATGTATTTTACATATTGGAATCAATTCTGATCACTCAGAAATCATTTTTCCTGTTGGTACAATACTCATGGCATGCACCATCAATTGCAAACTACAGTATTTCTCTTAGTTTAGATTAGAATCAATGTATGTTAAGTCATAGGTAATAGCACACAAAGCATAAATTACAAGTTTTATGTGAAGATCAAGCAGCATGGTTCCAGTGCTTGGGCTCAAATTACAGGAGGGCTAGCACTTATGTACAGTCTATCAGAACTTTGGTAGTTTACTTGCAAGGTAAGATTTTATATGGCAGGACACAAAAACTAAAGAAAACTTTCTATATATACCCAACAAAGATTGAGATATTTCAAAAAAAATTGTTTTCCAGAATACATAATACAAGGAAAAAATCCAAGACATGGAATCTATTATATATGTGTGTAACTCACACAAGAACTAAGAAACTGGGGCTGGGAAGGTGGCTCAGTGGTAGAGCACTTGCTTTGCATGCATGAGGCCCTGGGTTCAATTCCTCAGCACTACATAAGCAGTAAGAAAAAAAGCCGGAAGTGGCACTGTGGCTCAAGTGGTAGAGCGCTAGCCTTGAGCTGAAGAGCTGAGGGACAGCGCCCAGGCCCAGAGTTCAGGCCCAGATCCCCCCCCCCAAAAAAAAGAACTAAGAAACTGAGAGTAAGATTCTAAAACAAGGTCAGGCAGAACACATTGCATGCAGTATTAGATGCATTAGACAATGTTTATTCTTACAGCCAAAATTCCCTTTAATTTCATAATTCTGAAAGTATGAATATATGAATTAATATAAACAGCACTTTTCTTCAAAATATACTATTAGCACTGACTTTCTTTTTTTTTGGGGGGGGGAGCCCAGTCATGGGGCCTGAACTCTGGGCCTGGGCGCTGATATTAGCACTGACTTTCGAAACATAAGCTTAGTGAGGTGATTTCATTACATCCTTGTCATTTACGCGAATACAGAAAAACAGAATTTTATACTCGTCTTTTGACATTAAATTCTGTGTATGTCCAGAAAAGAGAAACACAATTTACCTTCAGAGAATCAACTAGATCGTCAACTAAGAAAAGGCGCCTGAGTTCTTTTATTGTGCAGTTCACATGGCCAAGAGCAGAATTACTGTATTTCTGAATCAATTCCTCAGATATAGCGACTTCGGATTCCAAATATGCCCTGGAAAACAAATACATATTTCTCACTGATGATTTGTCCCCAAATGTCAGTCAGCAATTATTTATATATAAGTGAAGAGATTTATAAAAATAGACTAATTTTAATAAAAAAACTTAGTGTCTCTATGTAAAGCAAAATATAAAAATTCACCAAGACTAATTTCATTGGTATGCAGTCAGCCAAAAAGCATATGCTGCCTGGGGCTGGGGGTTTTTGCCTGTAATTACGAGGCTCACGGTTTGAAGCTAGACCAGACGGAAAAGTCCATGAGACTCTTCTCTCCAATTAACCACTAAAAAGCTGGAAGTGGAGGTGTGACTCAAGTGGTAGAGCACCAGCCTTGAGTAGAGAAATCAAGTGAGAGCATGAGGAGTATACACAGAAAGGAAGGAGGGAAGGAGGGAGGGTTGAAGGAAAGATTGAAAAGAAAAAAGGGGGGGGAAAAAAGCTCCTATGTTTTAAAGCCAGATCCACCTGAGCTTGGCCTCTTACTTGACTGTGTAACTTTACAGTTATTTAGTCATGCCTCTAAGAATCTCAGTTTCCTCTCATTTACAAATGGAGATTACCATTGGGATTCACTGAATAAATAGTATTTAACATAACTAGTCCAAAGAACCATTTGATAAATGGTCCTTATGATGACAGTTTTTCCCCTTTTGTTGTTTAATCAAACTTCCTTACCAAAGACTCTAATTACTTCCGAAGCCTACACTCTTCTCAGCCTAATGTTTTTTTTGTTTGTCTGTTTTGTTTTGTTTGGGGGGGTCCGGTCATGAGGCCTGAACTTTGGGCCTGGGCACTGTCCCTCAGCTCTTCAGCTCAAGGCTAGCACTCTACCACTTGAGCCACAGCACCACTTCCGGCTTTTTTCTTTTTGCTTATGTGGTGCTGAGGAATCGAACCCAGGGCCTCAGGCATGTAAGGCGTGCGCTCTACCACTGAGCCACCTTCCTAGCCCTCAGTCTAATGTTTTTATAGGAAACTGCCCTCAAATGTTAAATCATAAGACTATAAAATGGGTACTAAAAACACAGTGGCAATTCTGGTAAAAGAGAACATTTAGTGTCTACTTAGATGCCCTAATTTATACTGAGGTGGCTGGAACTATTAAATGGAAGAAGGTAATAGTAAGAAGGAAATGCTACAGGCATGCAAAGAACTATTTTCATTAGTTACAGTTTCAAAGAAGCCACTTTATCTTAGAAAGTAGAAGCAAGTCAGATCTGTTGGAAGTTCTTCCATACTTACTCCCTCCTTATCATTTTCCCACATTTATGAAAACCATCAGTTGCTTGCACTGGAAATAACAGTCCTCTAATACAAGTCCATAATCCATAGTTTTTCTAAGTAGTATGCCCCAAATATGTCTCCTTGTTTTTATTCACAGTGCCACTACTCTAATTTGTGTTCATTACTTACAAACTGGAATATTTTATCAATAGCCAAACAAGTCCTTGATCAATAGCCAAACGAGTCCCTGATCAATAGCCAAACCAGTCTTCAGCCTTAAGCCACATTAGTCTTATTTGAGCAATCCCACATAATGCTTTAAACTCAAGGAAAAGTTAGACTTGCTACTTAGCTAAATAACCTTATACATTAGAGAAACAGACCTTCTTAAAAACTTCAAGTTCAAACATTCTGTGATTCTATGGTTCCATTTTTCAACCAGAAAGCACCCCTCAGCCTTTCTAATCTTTCTTCCCCCTACTCCTTATGTTGCGGCCAAAAATGGGTCATTTACCAAATATTTTTTTAATTGCATTGCCTCCTGGAGCTGTTTTCCCAATCCACAATGTTTTCTTCTCATTACTAATGTTAGCCTATCTATTAGCTTCTTCTCAGATTATGGATAAAATTTTGTTTATTAAAAACTGGCATCAGGGGCTGGGAAGGTGGTTCAGTGGTAGAGTGCTTGCCTCGCATGCATGAGGCCCTGGGTTCAATTCCTCAGCACCACATAAGCAGAAAAGGCCAGATGTGGAGTTGTGGCTCTAATGGTAGAGCACTAGCCTTGAGTTGAAGAGCTGAAAACAGAGTTCAGGCCCCACGACCAACCAAGAAAAACAAAAACAAAAAACGGTCATCAGGAGCCATTCAATAAATGTTGGATCTTAAATGTTGGATCTTTCTCCCAAAACTCGTAGTATCATTACTTTGTCAATTAGAATAAGCTGGAATAAAACACTTCAGTAAGACACTTCCTTCCAAGTCTGAATATCAATTTATGTTTACCCATAAATAGATAATATTAAAGAACAGACCCCTCCCTTGCCAAAGTAATTTTTAAATGTTTAAAGAAATATTATGTTTATATACCAAACTATCAGAGAACATTATTACAATAGGAAAGAACCTCTCAGGGTCATTTGAGGTCAGTGTTAGAGAAGCCTTCCCAACAGTTAAAAGTTTCGAATCAAGCCCGTAACCAAACAAAAAAATATGATGCACTGGAGCAGCTAGAGAGTTGAGAATGACTGCATACAAGGAGGAAGAAAAACATTTGAATGTCATCCTATTGTTAACAGAGAGATCCTATGCATAAATATGATAAGGTAACACACGGATTTGGCATTGGCTAGTTTACAGATCCCTGATCTAGACTGAAGGAACGGTGGGAAATAACAAAATTTAGTGATCTTTACATAAGATGAAAACATTAAATATAACATTAAAACTAGGAGGCTAAAACCTAAGGTGACTGTTTTTACTGATAGACGTCTGAATAAAATCATTTAAAGACATGAAAAATTAAGAGAATTTGAATGAGGATTAACAAGGTTCTTTTTGGTATGAAGGTTCTTTTGGTATGAAATGTTCTGGAATATATTTTTTAAAAAACACTTGAGTTTTATATACAGTGTATAAACTATCTCAAAGTGGAAAGAAATGTGAAGTATAACATGAGAATAGGAGATTCAAGCTAGTGTTCCCACAGCAACTACAAATTTAATGCTATGGTATTCTTATAAAAAAATAGGACAACAAATTAGTAACTGAGAGGTGAAATAATGAAATAAAGACCTCTAAAACTAATAATAAAATAAGATTTACAAAGTAGTATTCCTGGGAAAGGAGCAGAAAGAGAAAGAGTCCTAAGCCATGAATGGTAGAGATACAACTAGAAAGAAAGTTATATATATATCAACTAGTATTGAACATTAACAATGCAGAAAAGGTAAGCAATATGGAAATACAATACCCACCAATCACAACCATGTTAAAAGATAAACCATCTGCTAAAGTAGAATTAGATGACTTGAGAATAGGCTTTATACTCAGGATATATAAACTCAGTCTTTACCAACATAAGCCTTTCATATAGGAAATCTCAAAAGCAGTACTTACGGCACAACCGTTTAGAAATAAACACATGACTGAAATTCTGTAGTTTACACTACTACCAGTGTATGCCTTGTTTTTCCAGACATCTCACCTGAACGGGTGGCCTTCATCTGACTTCTGGATAGCTTGGATCACACCCTTGTATGTTCTAAAGCTGATAGTCACAGAGAGCAGGGCCAAGGCAATGTAGGCTGTTACACTCACAATGCTGAATACTGTCAATGAAAGCAGCAGGAATAAGCTGGCACCAAACACCACTCCAGTCTTCTTAATATCTCTCCAGTAGAGGAGGTCAACAACTAAATTAAAAAAAAAATCTGAATTAGAACATTATTTTAACCTAATTGGACTCGGAACATTTACAGTGGCTGTATGTATTACAGAAGTAAAAAGACCACTGAATAAAATCAAACTCAAACCTAAAACATGAAAGACTTTTAAGATACATTTTAAATCTACTGTAAAATGTTGAGATTGAAATTTTATTTAAAATTATACATCTGAGATTTACAGTTTTGCTTTTAGAAGCTAAGAAAATTTAAATGCTATGTAGTCTATCATGAACACAAGTTGTCTACATAGCAAAAGATAGGAAAAACAGCATTTACATAGCTGAAAATCTACTATATCCCACAAGGAAAAAAAATGTCATAAAAACTTAGGAGTCAAAGAAAAATGGAAAAACTACATCTGTAGACTGTTTATACAATAGTTATTAATAGTAAGGAGTCAAAACCTGACCTAGCAAGTCAGCTCTTGGCCCATAGTCCCAGAAACACGGTAATATCAAATAACCATAGGCCAACGGTCTTAAGATCAGGTTATATTCAACCCAAGGAGAACTATGCAGTGTGCCAAAGGGGCTCTTTGTCAGACTAGACAGAATTCATCTCTGCCAGGCTCAGGAGGCTGATATCTGAGGATCACAATTCAAAGCCAGCCTGGGCAGGAAAGTCCCTGAGACTACTCGTACCTTCAATAAAATACTCAAAAAAAAAAAAAAAAAAAAGCTGGAAAACAGTAATGTGGCTCAAGTGGTAGAGTGTTAGCTTTGAGCAAAAGAAACTCAGGGGCAATGCTCAGACTAAGTTCAAGCCCCAGGACCAGTACCAAAAAAAAAAAATCATCTCTTTCTGGATTGTGTCTAATTAATTGTGAGGAGGAAAAAAAAAAACTTATAGTAGAATTTTAAATACTCTTTTATAAAAGGATAAAGGAGATAACATAAAAGAAGTCCCATCTCCCTTTTGAAGTACCAGGGTTTGAACCTGGGTCTTAATATTTGCTTAGTTTGCTTGGTTGGCAGGTGCCAACCAAGTGTGACTCAAGTCACACTTTGAAACCTGCTTTTTGCTGGCCATTTTGGACATAAGTCTCAGAGACTTTTCAGCTGGGCTGGGTCCAAACTACAATCCTCCAGATCAGACTCCTGAACAGCTAGGATGACAGGCATGAGCTGGTTGTCCAACAAGAAGTCCCTATTTTTAAGGGCTACAGTGGTTTTGATCCTTCGGTGGTCTCAGTATATGTGACTTCCCTTTATAGACATGGTTATCTTTTTATAGGGAAAACTATGTATGCAAACTGTAAGATGCAAGGTTCTCTTATATCCCTTCATTTCTCTTAGCATATACTGTAAGTACCGTGGCCGTGGTGTGTGTGCCTCCTATGAACAAAGTCATGGATTAGTTCATCTCCAATACCCTTCATCACAAAAAGAGACATTTTAAGTACATAGCACTTTATCTAAAAGGACTCCAATACATTTTTATTCCATTCTCTTAAATATGATCTCATTTGATAGTTTAACAGCCCCTATGATGAGCGCTTTCATTGTGAAAGTGTCCATACAGATTTCAAGCCTCTCCCAACTTATTACAACCCTGCCTAAAACTTCTAATTTTTTTATGTATACACTAGTTCTACCATTGTACAAAAATTAGGCATTGGTGTTGAATTACTTAAGACTCCAACAACAGCTTTATAAATCAATAGGTATGTAACTTCAGGCAGATGACTACATTCTTCTATATTTTACCTCTTAAATGTGTGTAAAAATAGGAAGGCTCTCACTGGGATGCTGACTCATTAAGTGAAATAATGAATTAAAATTTCTCATGTTGGTCATCACTAATACCTGTAAGCCTAGCTACTCAGGAGGCTGAGCTCTGAGGATTCCAATTGGAAGCCAGCCCAGGGCAGGAAAGTCTGTGGGACTCTCATGTCCAAATCTAATACCCAGAAGCTGAAAGCCTTGAGTGAAAAGGCTAAGGACAGGTCCTAGTAACAGCACGCGCGCGCGCACACACACACACACACACACACACCAACAACAAAAGTTTTTTTATTAATAAGGTGATAAAAGGTAGCAAATAATAAATTCCTAAGTCCTTCAATAAGCAGGAGGAACTCTAGAAATCATACACGCAAGTCCACACATGTTGCATGAAAATATGTAGACTACCTTAAAATAGATACCATGATAGACATGTTGACATAAGCTGGAGGAATGCTGCGTGCAGCTGCTCATGGGACCATTAGGAAAGCAACGTGAGAGATGAGACAGGTCGGTGGGAACAGTGACACAGAAGACAGGAGGAACATATTCTAGAATAGGAAATTCTGACCAGCTGCTACCAAGAGCATCGCGAAAGGTATAAAAACATTTCAACCTTGTTTTGAAAAGGAGGTTGTCTTTGAAGCGGCAAGGATGAAGAAATACTAATTTCTAAATAGTAATTCTTAACTAGGCTGTTATCTTAATTGATACTTGTCAATCGTATTTCTAGCCCACAGATTCCTTCAAGTTCTTTGGTTAAAATAATTAGAATACTAAATTCATCCAGAAATGGAAGGACAAAGGGTGAACAAATGCAGTAGTGGTGCTCACTAGATACTATGTTGAAAATGAACTACACAACTTGTGGGTATGGACAGGAGGGGAAAAACGAGCTAGCAAAGGGGTGACACTGTCCAAAAAGAAATGCACTCATTCCCTGATTTACATAACTGTAACCCCTCTGTACGTCACCTTTATAACAACAATAAAAAAGTAAAAATAAATTAAGAATTAAATCCCACCTGAGAAATATATTCAAACACGGCTATTTCTAGAATTCAATTATATTCATTAGTTAATATGAAGTGTTTGTTCAGCTCTGACACCAAAACCAGAGTATACATACAGTAATCCTCAACAAAATAATAAACCCAGTCTTGTATCATACAGAATGAAGAACATGATCACCACATAGATTCATTAAAAGCCTCAGATAAGATCCAATGCTTTGGGCTGGGAATGTAGCTTCGTGGTAGAGTACTTGTCTAATATGAAAAAGCTGGAAGTGGCACTGTGGCTCAAGGGATAGAGTGCTAGCTTTGAGCAAGAGAAGCTCAGAGACAAATGCCTTTTCAAAAAAGCTGGAAGTGGCACTGTGGCTCAAGGGATAGAGTGCTAGCTTTGAGCAAGAGAAGCTCAGAGACAAATGCCTTTTCATGGCAAATTAACATCAATGAGGAAGAGAAGAGAACAAACTCAACTTGATAAAAAAACCATCTAACAAAGCTCAAAATACAAGTGTGTAAAAATGTTCACGAATAGATAATGGTAATGACATACAATTTTGTGAACATGCTACAATCAATAAATTATACACAACAATGATTTGTTTCAACTTCTGTCCTAGATTGAATACTCTATATGGGAAGTCAATTTCTCACGCAGTACATTCTTGAGCACAAGAGAAATGAATTACTCTCTGATTAGAATATATACTTATGTCAGTTTAAGGCATGTACTAATTCTAGTTACCATATTCAAAAGGTTTCTACACTCTGGATTGAATATTTTATTTATAAACTATTTTTACATGTTATTAAATAACAGAAGTCAATGCTTCCAGATAATTTATAAAGCAGCAATGTTCTACAGTGATCTATAGACATGTCACCTTTATCAGACTCTAAAAAATTGATGAAAGCCTTTCCTTGTTATAATCTTACTACTTGCTTCATTATAATTTGCTGCACTACAGACATGGGCCAGACTATTATTCGTAGAAATAGAAACATTTTAACTAAAAGTACAATATTTTCAAACTCAAACATAAAGAACATCTGTAGGAAAAACTTACAGGGTTACCATAATGCTAAATTTGGATTTCCCAGTAATTAACTTTCGTCCTATTTATGAAGTGGACTCTTAGTTTTTACGAAACCAAAATTAAGAATTTAGGTTTTAGCTAGGTGCTGGTGGCTCACACGAATCAGCTACTCAGAAGACCGGTTGATAGCTGGAAAGCTGAGGTTCAATGCTAGCCAAGTTTCCATCTTCAATTAACAGCAAAAATGCCAGACTGACTTGAGTGTCTGGATGGAATTATGAAAGATGGGGGACAATGACGCAAGGTGTGGCCTTGATCAAGATGCACTGCACTCATAAACTAGTTTGTTGAATTGAAAAAAAAAAAGACAGAGAAAAAAAGTTGAATTAAGACTGTGAGGACTGGGGCTGGGAAGGTGGCTCAGTGGTAGAGCGCTTGCCTTGTATGCATGAGGCCCTGGGTTCGATTCCTCAGCACCACATAAGCAAAAAAGAAAAAAGCCGGAAGTGGCACTGTGCCTCAAGTGGTAGAGCGCTAGCCTTGAGCAGAAGAGCTGAGGGACAGCGCCCAGGCCCAGGGTTCAGGCCCCACGACCGGACCCCAAAAAAAAAAAAAAAAAAAAGACTGTGAGGACTAGTTCAAGCCCCATACCAGTACCAAAAAGAGAAAATAAGATGGACTGGGAAGGTGGCTCAGTGGTAGAGTGCTTGCCTTGCATTCCTGAGGCCCTGGGTTCGATTCCTCAGCACCACATAAGCAAAAAGAAAAAAGCCGGAAGTGGCGCTGTGGCTCAAGTGGTAGAGTGCTAGCCTTG